ATGAAAACGGTTTTTTTATTCATAGTTTCACTCCTCACGTTTGGGATTATCATTGTCCTTCTTTTTGCTGAGCTATCTCGATTTGGAAATCCCGAAGTTGCTTTTAACTATTATGTGGACAGTTCTATTGAAGGGTATGCTAGTTTCTTGATACTAATTTGTAGTGACCTACCTATCAACATTGATATAACTATTGCTATGAAATGCTCTGGTGAGCAAATCACTTCGAATTTATCGAGTTTTAGACGTTTCAATGGATGTGCTTGATTTGAATGGGAATCTCATCAGCTCCAGCTCACAGATTAAAGCAACAAATTGCAAATTCGAACTACCTCCAAAATGGGACAAGAGATTTAAGGTGTCACTAAAACTTTAGTCATTTTTGTTTTCTATAGACACCACTAACTCATTTTGTTTACGCTAGCTAAAGCGAGAACAAATGAAAAATCTTCGTGAACAGTATCATTCTCTGCATCAATACTTTTGGCTCTCCCATATGGATAGCGAAAAATTTGATCTTGGTCCGCTGCATTACTTTCGTGAAGTTGAGGCCTTGGAGGCCAAGGCCGATGCTTGTAGATTTATAGGCACTTTTAAGGCCAGAAAATCTCCTGGGAATCTGCACATCACAACAGGACGGTATGACTCGACTATTCTTTTGATTGCAACTATGTACCGGCCTAGAGTTTGTGTATTTTTATTTAATGCAGAGCACTTGGTCTGAATTCAAATGTTCACATTCATATCGCTCCATTGGATCCGAACGGAAGTAGGTCATTTTATCATCAATCTCCATATTTCTTACCCTGATTTCCCATATCTGTCCTATTTTTGGCTCATTAGTCTAATGTGCGTCGTCTCCCTTTACGTAGGTCGAGAAACTGTTCCTGTTCATTTGTATCATGTGTAATCTTTCCTAGGGAGGAACTTTTCTCACAGAATTCATCATCTATCTTTTGGTACGCCACTGGAAAACTATATCCATCCTCTTGACGCTGAGGAAGTCATTTCGGACGATCGTGAGTGAAGCAGTCTTGGGTACAAGTTGCCTTTGGCATAAACATCCTTTTGTTTTCATCCATTCTTATAGCGGATGTGTTTAACTATGCGGCTTCTAATTAGTAACTAAAAATAATAATTTCTCCCCGACACAGAATTTGTTTGACCTTAAGGCATGAAACATATATTTTGAAATGCGTGCTCTTGTGTCTCCATCATCAGCACGTTTGGAGCTAGATTTGGCACTATGAAAAGGGACTTCGCTTTTGGGTATGTTCACCATTGTGTCTATATTTCTTGTTCTCTATTTTAGCCGCTCTAATGTACCAATATTTCATTGAAGTGGTTCCTACCACCTTTAGGACCCGACTAGAAGAGATTGATACCTATCAATACGCCGTCACTGAACAGGTATGCACTCTGCTCCAGCGAAGCATTTCATGCGACACTCCGATTCAACTTTTCTAACCTTGAATGATGCGGTGCTCGGGAGGAGGTTAGCTAGAACGACCTGTGTTGTAGCTTAGTTGTTGGAGATT